AACTCTTTCAAAGCATATTCATTACAGTGCAAATTAGGTTGAGCTGAGCAAGGGCGTGCGCAGAGGAGGCGCGGCAGTAGCGCAACAGTGCGAGGCGCATCTGAAAGAGCTGTAGAAGAGGAGAGGATAACATCACATCACATCAGAAACAGCTTGAGGAATCAGGACTGTCCAGGACTGTAAACCTGACAGACCAGTCTGAACTGATCTGCTTCATATAAAGACAGCAGACAGTCGGGAAAGTCTTCTTCGCGTGTGAAGAATGGATAAGCACAAAGGTAAGTGGAATGATTATATGAAGTTTGCATGGTGCCATGTCTCGTATACACGCACAGCCCGCTGTAAACAACTTTAAACCTTTGCGATGTTTTCCAATCCTCAATATATCGTGGGAAACTGGGGGATCGCTCTCCAGAGGGATGCAACAGGAGGAAATTGAGTTTCCAGGGAAAGTTGACTTTTCAGCGCGCTCGTTCATTGATTTCTCCATCTCTATGTGTTTCGCATTCTTCCTCACTATTAGTATACGATTTCTGAATGCAAAAATAAACAAGCATTTATTAGAGACGCTCACAAGAGATTCTATCCAGTAGCAACAATTGTTCTTCCTGAATTCTTTGGATTCCTGTGGTTTAAGCTTTTTGTATGCATAGGAATGCAGAGCCCTAATATTTTATGACTAAACTGAGATAAGACTCTTCTCTATGGAAGGAACAGCCACTTTTGTGCAAACTGATGTTTCTTTCTGGAAAAGTTTCTGAAAGAATATTCATCAGTTCAGCAATAGCTTGAACATGTCTAATGTTAATAACAGCAACAGCAATAATAATAATAGCAACATCAACAATCAGACACTAATGATCATTTATAACATAGCTATTAAATTGATTTGTCAAAAGTATTAGCAGCAGCAATAGACCACAGTTCTTGGACACTGGGGTAAGAGGTGTTTGAACAATAAAAACCTCTGTACCACAACAGACAAAGGTTTTCACTTCATAATTCCACTTCCTGTGCTGTGCAGACTTCAGTTAATGAAGTAGACTATTTGGTCAGGTCTTGGTATTTGTTCTTGTTATTTGCATGACAGCCTCTATTCTGATTTTTGACTGAATATGCCACTTCCTGTCTGTCTAACCCTAACATCAGTTTAAATTGATTCAGTGTCACTTTTTGATACTTCAATATTCAGCATAATTATTAATTATTCTATTGCTGAAATTGCATCATAAGTGTGCTGTAATGCTTATTTTACAGTTAGTTTACCCAGAATGAAAGTTATATCTTAATTTTCTCATCCTTATGTCATTGCAGTATTTTTCTTTCTCTGTGGAACACAAAAAGAGATGATTGACAGGATGTTCATGCTGTGCTTTTCCAAATAATGAAAGCGAATGGTGATCAGGGACTGTCAAATTCCAAAAATGACAAAATAAAAGCATCATAAAACTGCTCAACATGACTATTATACACTATAAACAATAACTGTAAATATAACTAACGATAACTATATTGGAGTCCACACCAATGCATGATAAAGTTCTGTTTATTAAAACCCTACAATGCACTTAAGTCATCTGCTGCTTTAAACACTCAAGCGCTTTGAAGTTATGTGCAGGATTCTGATTGGCTGTCAGTGTTTATATTGTTCATCAGCTGGAAAAAAATAAATGTTCTGAAAGTGATTCCAATGATATTGTTCCTTTGTGTCATTGTCTTTATAAAGTGACTGTGGGGTGAACTTCCATATTCTTGTAGAATTAAAGCCTGTTTACACCAACAACGATAATTATAAAGATATATATAATGATAACTATACTAACATCCACACCAACAGACTATAACATTCTGTTTATTATTTAAATCCTGCCGCTTTAAATCCTCATGCGCTTTAATGTCGAGAGGGCTCTGATTGGCTGTTTTTATTGTTCATTAGCTGGAAATCAGCTGGAGAGTAATTCCTACAGTATTGTTCCTCTGTTTTTTTATTGTTAATATTGTGTTGTGGAATTCCCTATGAACAATTATTATGCTGTAATTATAGTTATTGTCTTTGGTATGAACTGGCCTTAACACTATATTCTAAATCTTTGAAAACTTTGTGTAAGGAACAGAACCGAAATTTAATTGATTATTTACTGAAAATGTCCCTTTCTGCTGTACACTGTAAAAAAATCCGTAAAATTTACGGTAAAAAAAGGCAGCTGTGGTTG